GGAAAGAGGAACAAAAGGAACAAAAATTCTGTATCCGTTGACGCACCTGTCAACCCGCTTTTCCTTCGCGCTTACCCTCTTGACACGCTTCTTGGTGATCCTCTCGGCCGCGTAAACACGATCGCCCAGGTCCATGCTGCTGTTGCCGCTGTTTGTCGGCAAATCTTGCTGGCCGGATGCGCCCGCCAACCCTCCCTTGCCGCCGGAGAATAACTTGGCGATGATGCGTCGCTTGATCTGATTGATGCTCGTGGTGATGGGTATAGGAGTGCCGTTGGCCTGCCTCTCACTCAACAGCTGCACCGACTCCTCGCAAGCACGCCTCACTTTTATACGTTCGGACGAGCGGTGCGCGAGGTCGTATTCCTCGTAGACGGTCGAACCCGTCCAAGTCGCTCGTTTATCGCCGATGGCACCGCCGCCACCGCCGCCCGCGCTGCTACTACTACGGGGCTTTTGCGAAATCGTCGTGTCGGCCAATTATGGGGTCGAAACTGCCCGACGACACGGCACTGCGCGCGGGAGTTTCGAACACTGATCCGGAACGAGGAGGTAACAATTAACCGACTCGACGCCGGTTTTGAGAGCTGCGCTATCGGGACTCCCAAATGAAGTCAGGAACTTATTCACCCACTATTGCCCGACACGACACGTGTCGGCGACACTCGGTTGCACAATTTAACCCCCGACTCGTAGCTTAAACTCTCGCGAGAGCACTGTAGATGTGGTTACCATCGTCGCCACCACCAGCACAACAACAATAACAATAACGACTACTGTAATTATTATTAAAACAACAACACCAATAACACCAACAATTACAACAATAACAATAACAGTAGCGATGACAGCAACGATAACAACGCGATCCACCAGACGATTGTTGATTCCGAAAGCTACTACGATCTTAGCAATTCTTATTGCTCTTCTGCTTTTATTGTTCTGACTCACAAAAGTTTCCTATATCACGTAGCGTGCCACCCTGTCGGAACACAGACACGAGGTCAGCCGCTATTTCGGCCCGATGTTTTTCGACAGGTTAGTAGCACTGGACTGCTCACCGGCTACGAGCAATAAGCGCGACGTCCAAATAGCTGTTGCTCTCGACGTCGTCGTCGTTGTTGTCGTCCGCCAGTCACGACCCATTGGGTCGACTACGCTTCGGACATAACACGTACTTTTTCAACACCAACGTATTACTTCTTTTGATTATTTCACTTCATCAGCCGGTTTGTCGTTGCCTCGACTTTATCACTTTATCCTGACAGTCGTATATTCTCGGCGTCGGCAAATCGTCGTTGCACTTCTCGCGGGAGGAATTTCGTTTTTCTCTCGCGCAATTTTCACACAATCTCCCTCTCCTGCCGCCACTCACTCTCTAGCTCTATCTCTCTCACTTCAGTAGCAAATCCCCCTGGGCTCGTAAACACCAAACATGGCCGTCGCGCGCTGATGTACGTGTCCGTCTTTCTCGCTCAACGTTCCTCTCTTTCTTTTTCTTTCACCCGTAAGCGCAAATACGCTCGTACAAGAAAATTAAAGCTCCGCTGTAGCGGCTTTTCACGCGAACACTTTTATCTTTCTTGATTTTAAGGTTATGCTGTAGAGTGCGTATCGTCCCTCGCTTTCCAAACACATATAGGCGCGTGGATTACGTATTGAAGTAGTATTGTTGATTGAGAGCAACTACGGCTCTAAACTCATACTCACAACCGTCACATTCTCCGGTTCGAGGCCGACTAAAGGCGCGCGCTCACTCGCACACATGCACTCTTTCTTTCTTTCTTTCTTTCTTTCTCTCTCTCAAAGCTTCTCCCTCTTCTCAGCTACCGCTACAGCCGCTTAGCCACTGCGCCCCCACCCCGTCAGTTGCCGCCGTCGCCGCTGCTGCCGTGCGCTCTCATCTTCCTCGCACTAGTGTTATTCTCTACGTAAGCGCCCCTTGCTCGTGTTTCCTTTGGACTCGTCCGGCTCGTACGCGAACTCGTCCGAGTGGGGGAACTTCGATATTAGAGTGGGAGATCAAATGCCCAAGTCCGCACGAAGAACAGCGCCCCACTGCGGTGCTTAGTTCAACCTGCTAGCGGCTCAATCTGCGAGTGCGCACGCATCGTCTCTTGCTTATGCGACTTGCATTCGTGCTGCCTGCTGCTTCTAGATTTACTTTACAACCCCAACCGCTGCGCGCGGCTCCTCTTCTCTTAACGCGTGTGCGCGCTGTGCCTACACAGTCTCGCCACGCTGTGTGCACGGCTCGGTCGAAAAGACGGAGATAGATGTAGGATATAGGGGCGACGTTGCCAAATGTTGGGAACTCGAGAGTGTCGATAGACGGAGCGCCCCGACTCAACTGGCACTGTCGGAACGTGGCTTCGGTTCCAACTTGGCCCAGCTTCTTGACCGATGAAATCGCTGGCCTCTGTTAGAGGAATCCTCGGCCCGCGGCTTGCTTTGCTCGATCCCGCAACGTGTCGACGGATCCGTGTATCGAATTCTTTAACCGCGCCTTATTGGTGCCGCTGACATGGCAACGTGGCACAGCGCCCAAGCTCGCGACGTGCCGTAACGCGCGCGCATGCCAAGCGTAGACACACACATACGCACGCGCGCGCACACGTACGTACGCACGCACGCATATGCACACAAACACACTCGTAAAATCAATCACAGTTTCACGGATAGTATGTGCGTATGCGCGTGAACGTTCGTGACTGGGGCGATGCGAATACGCACGAGTGCCCACGCGAATACAATAAACGCTTAGGGCTCGTAAGGAACGATCGTCGTTCGAATAAAAAGTGGCGCCCGTATTCCACTTACTCGGCGCGTGTTACCTCCCCGGATCGCGAAACGAGAGTGTGTCCTCTACGCTCGCAACAACGATGTTCGACTCGGAGCATACAGTAAAGAGAGACAGAGATAGAGTGATATGTAATGAGACAGACGGGGGGAGAGAGAGAGAGAGAAGAATAATGAGAGTTAAAGAAGCGAGAGAGAGCCCGGTTGTCCTTCGGTATAAATACTTGAATAAAAAGCGCCAGTGAGTGCAAGACAGGGATTGGTCGGGCCCGAGCGGCTCACCTCTCATTGGCTCGACCTCGGGTCCAACGACCAATAGTCTACTTGGCGCGGCCCACGTCGCTACCCCCACTCCGCTGCAAGCCCCCCTTATATGGGCGTGGCTGAGCGCGAATCCGCAGTAGAGTCTACGAAAGCCTCGGCTCTGTTTGCTCCTAAAAGCCGAATTCGTCCCTTGCCCGTCCCTCGCATAAAAACTTGACGATTTATTGTCATCAACGCACATCAGCGGAAGTACTCGCATGACACAGAAAGAGAAAGAGGAAACTTGTCCGTAGATATATAGTTATAGCAACGTGTCGTTACCGAAATGTTCTTTATCGCTCCTATTAATATATTTTCTACTGTTTGTTTCATTGTGCCCCTGTGTCACTCACACCTTCCCTTCGCTTATCCATCAATCTATCTATCTAATTGCTGCTTTGTATCCGACTTGCTGCCCACCTCCAAATTCACCCACTCGCCCCCGCCACTCTTTACGTATCTATATTACTTTTTTACTCCTATCCTCTTGCTATCCTTTTCTCTCTTTACCTCTCTCTCTCTTTCTCTCTCATTCACACTCTTATCGGAATCGCAAAAGTGCATGCACATAGTGGTGGTAATAGCAATAGTGACGTGGCGACAGTGGCACGAGAGGGTGCTGCTTTTCCTTTCTCCAAGCTGAAAACGCGTATATATAAATGTGAGCGTTTTTACTCTCTCTCCCGCTATCTATCCCTCGCGAATGTCTCACGTGTGCTTCGTATGTACAGCCATTAATATAGGCTTGTATATGCATACGCACATGAAAGACCGTGCGAAGCAGCAGTTCGATGAGTTGGGAAGCCTGCGACCTTCTCCTCTCTCTTTTGTTACTATAAACGAATGAGGCACTCTCGGTTCACAACAGGAATCAGAGCATCGGTATTGAAATATCCAAGTCGGCTGGTTGTTACCTAACAGTTCTATATGTTCCATTCGAATTCATATTCTATTTTACTTATCTTCGTTGTAGTATGAACAAAATGTGCTCTATGTAATTCAGGATTGGTTCATTTTCCAATATGATTCCAACTTCAAAATAGCGATTTCCAACAAATTATTCAATATTGAGTAACTGTTAATTGATTTAATAGGGAGTTAAACAATTATTTATCAAGAACAATAATAACCGTTTTTATACAAAAAACAATCCCAAAGTATATTTATCTTTATTTTCTTCTATTTTGATATTTATAGGTTTTTAAATTAATCAACCATTACTATGTATGGATATATATTTTGTAAACATTCTATAATATGCAATGCAATATAATAGAGAATCAATGAATGGTAAAGAATTCAATACAATAACAATATATATTTACTAAGTATTTATAATTAAAAGTAATAAGTATTTATAATTAAATTATAATATTATTTATTTAAAGTTCTTAGTTGGAATAACTGCTCACAAATCAAAACAGTCAGTTATGGAATCTAATAAAATTTGGATTGCAACTATTTTTCTTTATATTTATTATATATTCCCTATAACATTTGCCAAATATTGTAACTAAACTATTTTTAGACGCAAATATTGCCTAAAATATAAAAGAATTTCACTCGAAAATAATTTAATCTCTGTCTGAATAATCATAATTGTGTTAAGATAAATTAAGAGACAGACATGATTTATACAGATACTGCTAATTAGTAACAGTAACAGCCATTACATCCTTATATAATTTCCGACGCTGTGAATTTTGAAAGTTAAATAAAAATCTACATGATTTTTCGATTTGAAGCCACGATCTCAGCTTCTAATCAAACTTTTGGTCTTATCGCGACTGGTTTACATAGTACTCTCTCTCTCTCTCTCTCTCTCACTCACTCTGTCGTACTTTTTTTTACTTTTCTCTGCAAGGTGATGGCAATAACGGCGGGGTCAATCTTCTTTATGACACAATCTCATCGCAAAACAATCTATCGCATTTTATCCCACAGCTTACGCTTATATAGGAAATGAGCTCGAAATGCATTTCGAAAGCTCATGTAGCGATTTCGTCCATGGGATGGCTCTAAAATGGCCGTTTCGAGCGTCAATGCCTGATGTTGCTAAATCAATCCAAACTTCGGATTGACGGACGTATAGCTTTCAACCCATTTTTTCGTAAACGATTCACATATCATCGCAAACTGAATGTTATAGTTATATCGAATTCAAATTTCTAGAATCTGAATAACGAAAAAACCTAGGATTTCTAGGAGTTTGCAATTTTTTGACTATGAATACTTAAATAGAAACACTAAGATTGTTGAATTGTACAATAAGTTTCTGTTGCTATTATATTTCAGTTAAAATTAAGTAAGTTTGTAATTGAAATTATTTATATAAAATATTAAAAATTGTATAATAAACATCATTATTATATGGTATCATATCTAAAAAAGCAATTTTTCACGACCGCTTTTTAGCTAAATATTTAAACTTAGAAAAAGTTCTTGAAGTGTAAAACTTTTTTCAAATTCTACTTACATTCTTAATCCGAGTATTATTTCAATAAATTTATTGTTTATAGATCCCTTAAAACATAGAATTTAAAAATATAATACTTAAGATATTTTGTCTATATAATGATAATAAAAATAAAAATACAAATTTTTAATGCTGTTTTTATAATAATATCAGAAAATATTTTTATATTCAAATATGTAATAAAAATAATATCGAATATTTTTCATTTTAAAAAAATACTCATTCAAAAATTTTTAAACAATCATTAAAAAAATTATTTAAATTTCAACTCAGTTACTATTTAAGCTTTGAAATACCTATATATTACACAATGATTACACACCATGGTTACAATAACTAAATTTACCCAATTATTATAGAAAATAATTAATACATATTTAAGTTCTTACTTAAGTTTTAATCAATATTCAATTCGTAATTCTAATCATAATCATTTAAAATAATTTTAATTAAATTTTAGTAGACTTATTAAGTTTTAGTTGCTAGTTTAACGTAGAGCATATAACGAAAATATCAAAGATTGAAAAATATGAAGAAT